GTTAGGCCAGATCATTCCTGCCTGTTAATCTCTCCTCTGGTTTCATTTCTGCATCATATCAAACAGAAGTGTCTTGTCTTTACTTGCATGGCCTGTCATGACCTATTCCCGCCCAGTGACACACCAGCTCATCCTTCCCGTCTGCAGGTGCCTATGTTCAATCTTCAAGGACTTACGTTCCCTTTTGTGCTGTGTTTTTCCTTTCCTCCGAAGCATCCCGTTAAACTTCCCTCAAACTCCCTTCAGATCCTCTTTCAAATTCTTCCTTAACCTCTTCCTTTGCCAGTCTGTCTACAGACTCCTTGTCAACAGCAGAAAATTTAGAGTGCTGAGACCACAGTTTTCCTTACTGATCGGTTTTGTCTGATTGCTTTTTTGTATTTCCTGTCTATACCCAGTTGTTATCGCTTGTATTAGATTGTAAACTCCTGCAGTTGGGCCCTTCTTTGTCTTCTGTGTTTGTCCAATACCCGGCACAAAGGGGCTGTTCCACAATCTGAGAAGCCAGGATCTGTGGTGGTATATGCAAAAAACATGTAATAATAGTAATAAAATAATGAGAAGTTAGAACGTGGCATCATTTGCAATATGAGCTCCTCTCCCCCCTTCCCCCTCGTCCTTCAGATCCACAATATTTCAATTTTTTTATACAACAGAAGACAGTAAATGAGGATGTTTGAGAATATAGTAGCTGCTGTTTCCTTTCAGTTGCTGACGTGTTTCCCTGTGATCCACTCAGTAATGATGGCATTTTCAGCAGAGAAGCCTCTGTGGGCACCTCTGTACGTCCCCCCAAGGTAAGACCAACATGTGGCAGCCAGGCTAGGCTGAAAGAAGGTCAGGGCCAAGGTTATGAACCTCTTTCATGCAAAAACAGAGGACTCCAGTCTCCCAGGCTTGCTGCCAACGCATTACCTTCTAGTTTTGCTGAAATGATCTTGAAAAAGGACCTAAAAAGGGCTGAAGGGGCAAAAGAAGAATGTTGAAATGACACAGTTTCATCTTCGTGCAGTTGAGTACTAATTTTGTCCTTTGTCTTTAAGCTGCCTTTTAAGTGCTGTTTGTCTCTGTGGGAAGCAAATGGGTCACGTTGTTCTATGTTTCTACTGTAATACGCTGCCTGCTATTTTTCTCTTAGATTATTTGTGTAATCTTTTTTGTGCAATCTGTTTGTTCTTGAGTCTTGCAAGCTTTGCCTTTGCTACTTCTTTCCCAATAAGCAGTGCAACTTGTTCTGTATTCACTCATGGGTATTCTGCGCACAACGGACTGAGTTATTTCAACCAGTGTGAAAATATTAAAATGGGGAACATGTGTGGGCACTTAATTGTGGTGAGTCCAACCACAAATACCTTCACCGTTGGTAACTGGCACACAGGAAAAGCAGACCTTTGTTTTGTTTTTATCAGACATAATGATAGATACATTGTTTTTCGTGGGGTTTTTCTGGTTTTCTAAGGAAATGAGGCTTGTGCAATCCCACCGCCTGTGTGCATGTGCCTGTCTGTTTGTCAGTTCCTCCCTCCCCAGTAACACTTGAAACTAATAGCCATCTTCAACCAAATTTGAGTGAGGCGCAGGAGTCAGGGCAAGCGACCTGGTTTTACACGAGTCTTGTGAGGTCCCAGATTGCACCAAAGTCTGCAAAAGGTGCAGCTCCTAACTGCTGCATCGCTGCCAGCCAGATCGGTCGTGTATTTGCCCGTGTGCCCTTACGTGGATCCAGCCACTTAACTGTAAGCTCCCGAATTTGAATATTTTCGCTTACTTGCTTTTACCCTTCAGGCGAGTGAGTCAGTTGGGGGTGGTGCTGGGCACGGAGCTTGTGTTTTGATTCTGACTGGAGTGGCCATGTCTCATGAAAAACATGGTTTGCTCCAGGCCACAGTGTTACAATTTGCATATAAACTTATGAAAAAGGAAGCTTTCTTTAAGCTTTCCTGTGTGAGAGTTTACAGGAGCATTTCTGTCTGTGTACATAATAGCAGAAGCTGGACTTCTCATAAATGTAGATGGGTTAAATCTGTCGCTGCCTGAATGGGAATCTTCTGTGGAAAAACTCAGAAAGAGGAAGGAAAGCCTAAGGAAATACCAACTTGAAGGGGAAACGTTGGCCAAGTCTTGTGTTGTGCTGCTCTTTGGTTTGTACCTGGCCACCAGCAGTGGTGTTGGGGAATGCCCGAGAGCCATGTAGGAATGTAGCCTCAGGGCACCTTTAGGAAGCAGAGAAGATGCCTTTATGCCCTTGGCTCAAAGACAGGAGGTACAAAGGCACCAAGGGATTTGCCAGGGATTACAAGAGTTTTTATTTGAGTTCGGAAACAGACCCAGGTCTCCTGACACAAGAAGTACAGCCAGAAGTATGGTCTATGTATAGACAGCGTCTCCAGAAAATGGAGAGATGCCTTGGTCAAAGAGGAAGATAAATGTTGAAGTATACAAGAGCTGGCTAAATTATGAATGTGAGAAGAGGAGAAGGGGGAGAAAAGATTTCCACATGTTCTACTCAGATGTTAACAAAGAAAGCTGAGAAGTGTTTGCATAGACACTACATAATTCCGTGTCCAAATGCCTCATAAAAATAATACCGGATGATCACAGAATGGCACACCAGGGAAAATAAATTCTTCAGCGGAATATTCCCTCTGGAAAAACACTGTGTAAAGTAATACACTAATGGCTTTCAATTTCATGTTTTATATATAGAGATATTAACTACTCCCCAGACATCTCTTCATATTACAGCCCAGCTACACAAGCAGTTTGGAGAAGGCCCCAGCGCACGGTTGGGCTTGTCCACACACAGGACCAAGCAGTGCTCTCCTGTTGTATGTGCAACTCCTGTGATGTATACAATAGGTTTCTTCTGCTTTCTTCCGAGAGCAATACTGCTCCTGTGGTTCTCTCCAGTGGGATGGTTTTTTTCCTTCTTCTTCTTCATGTTTTTTTCCATTCTTCCCCCACACTTTGTAGCCTCACCACCATGCTGGGAACCCTGCATTCCTTCTCTGCTCGTAAAAAAGGAGTCCTCACAAGAAGCATTACAGTGGAGTGATTAAAGCACAACACTGTCAATCAAAATGCTAGTGACAAATGCTAAAGAAAGTTAAGTATAAAAACAACATTATTAATTCCTTTTGGGGGGTTTTCCAGGCTTGTCTGGATTTATCTGGTGACTTCTCTCTCCACATTGCTCAGACTGGGAGCTGTCTGAGTCAGGAACTGTCTGTCCTGTATAATGCCAACTACGGTTATGCCATTGTAGCAAATCAGAATGATCTGGGTTCTTTTCCAAGCTTTCCTAATATATCTCAAATGTGTGTATATATATCATCCTGCCACATCCTGAGGGATCCAAAAGTAGCTTACATGCTTTGTTCCCTGGATGTAGCCTATTGGAGTGTGGAACAGGCAGGGAAGAAGTCGTGAGTGTGGGGACATTGATGTTCACTACGCAAGGACAGCAGCCCTTCTGTTCGGTCGATGAGGCATATCCAAGTTCTTTTAGGAAGTTTTGCAATATTTGTTTGAAAAGGCTAATAAGCACAGACTGTGGTATGGGAGAACATCATATTGTTGCTGGATTATTTATTATTAGGGACGTATTATTTGTATATGCATTTATGAGTAATTCTAGTTTGAATTCAGTATGCCTTCCTTCTTGCACCTCAGCTCTCACTTACTTCCCTTCCCCTCCTTCCCACCCTCAGTGACCACACCACTCCACCCATAGAGCCTTGAAGGAGAAATGCAGTGTTCCGAGACTGGGGACACCACAATTATTCTCAAACTGAAGAATACTGTTTTAGTAGGACAAAGTCCCAGACTATAGTTGCTCTGTTGCCTTCAGTGGGGCTGTCCTGCATAGGGTGGCTGAGGTTGTCCTAAATACTTTCCATGACTCTGTGCATGAATTATTTTCAACACTGATAGCTGGGTAAGGACATCAGACCTGCATGGGCTATCTCCATTTTCTAGAACTCAAATGAATGGCGGAGGAAAATTGCCAAGGTGTGCCTTCCACCCACTCTCTTCCATCTTTTCTGCACCACAGTCTTCCCTAGGAAAATGTCTTTCCCATGATCTAAGAAACTTTTTCTTAGAAGAAAGATGAAACCACCCTTTTATTTGTATGTGGTATTAGGGACCTTTTTCAGAAACAGACAGAGCTTGTCTTTACTTAAAGTCCTTAGTAGCAGCTTCTGATATACCTTTCTTGAAGGACAGTAAGAATAAAGTATCCATACATCAGTTTCTTGAGGAATAGTTCCTGTGCTTTAAGTAGACACAATATCTTAATCCATATTAATCTTCAAACAGAGAAAAAGTCATTTTTTTTCCATGCGAGAGGTGATATTGCACTCTTTGTAATCATTCAGTCTTTAGCCACTACTTTTTATTTAAAATATCAACTAGCTCAGGATCAGCACATTAGCTAGAGCACGAGGATTGATACTGCTGTACTGGCAAAAGGATTTCACTTTTTAGCTTTTGACAGTATAATTGGCGCCTTTGAGGGAATTGGTTTAAGCTGTACAAGCAAAATTTATTAAATGGTAACAACTGTGCTGCCACCAGGCAGCTTTACGAGGCATCCTACCACAGAATCCTTTCATGTGGAGGCAAGGCTTTAGGCACAGGTTTATCCCATCTAACTGAGGAGCTGAGGGTGACTATATAGCTGGGTTAAAGGATAGCTGACTGGTTTGCATCTGGAGCTCAGGCTGCTTGTGATGATCACTGGCTAGCAGCAGTAGAACTGATATCAGTGCAGTCTTGGGAGCCAGTTTCAAGCCTCTCTAGATCTTTTCATGTGGGCCAGCACTGGAGTGCCATCCAGTGGCACTGGATCTTTGCCAGCAGTGGCACAAATTGCTCTTCTGTTGACTGAGCTGCCGTGTCCTCCTTACCCACCGCGCAGCGCAGGCCTGTGGGAGGATCTTCTCTACAGTTGAGACCAGGAGCTTGCTTTGACTCACGTCCTTTCCCTTTGGTAACAGGCCGCTGTGCTCGCTGTGGGGAGAATGTTGTTGGGGAAGGCACTGGCTGCACGGCCATGGACCAGGTCTTCCACGTGGAGTGCTTCACCTGCATGATGTGCAACAACAAGCTGAGGGGACAGCCTTTCTATGCAGTGGAGAAGAAAGCCTACTGTGAACCCTGCTATATTGTAAGTATCCATTGATTTTAATACACAGACACTGGAAACATTGATTTCTTTCATTGCTGTATAGTTGCCTTTCAGTTAAAACTTGGCATTCCCATGGTAGTACTGTGGGCACCAGTTTTACCATGGTCTTCAGAAGAGCTCTGATCTTTTCAGCTTCTTAGGTTAGACCAGGAAATGGAATTCACCCATCTCTGAAATGAAGTGGCCAAAGCAGGGGGAAGACATCCTTTTTGTGTGATTATTTCAGGTCTATAAGGAGCAGACTATGCACTGATTTTTAATCAGTAGTGTTGCTCTCAGAAGCTTTCTGTGTTGAGAAACCTGATACCAAAATGCTTACAGACTGGTGCCATCTAAGATGAAGGAGGTGGAATGCAAGATAGCATTAAAATTTCTGAAATAAAGACCTCTGCATTGCATGATGGAAGTCCTTCTACTGAGCTAAGGGTCTTTGGATTGGGTATCTTTTGAAGCTTACCTGACCCTAAAATTTCAACAAGTTCTTAAACCAAACAATTAACAGTTGCTCTGAGGAGCTGCACCTTTTAAGAGGCTCCCGTAAGAACTAGTTGGAACCAGTTGCACAGTTGCAAATTAAAGAAACATCACACAATGTGCCTGAGGCCTTACCTTGGTGTGACCTTCACATACAGTATATAGGGATACTCTTTGTAATTTAGAATAAGAAAAGCACCAAAATGTTGTTAAAGCGTTGATAGAGGTTTCTTTAAATCTCCAATTCGGAGTTCTTTTTAGAAATACTGGACCTGAGAACCTTCCAGAATTGGATTTGCACTTCTGAAAGTAAAAATTGATGCTTTTCTTAACACTTCTGGCATCCCGATAATAATTAAAGTAATAATGTATATTTCTGAGAATGTCACCAATATCCCATTATTCCTTCTGTTTCTGAAGAGCCTTTGCAGTGGGATTATTGCTGAAACATTGAATATAAAAAGGGAAGATGTTGTCATATTTACAATGGCAGTGGTATATGGGCCTTATTAATTGGCTTTTAAAAACTAAAGGATCTTTTGATGGACTATGTACCTTTTAAACCATTTCCATTTTTGTTTGTGCTAAAATGATTGCACCATAAAAAAACTAACATTAATTTTGTGGCAAGTTTGACCATGTGCAAAGCACTGCAGACTTTAGGAAGGTGCATTCATAATATGAATGGAGTAACTTTATGTAGCCGGAATTAAACATTTCATTAACTTCAGGCTGGAATTGACTTCATCTGCTTGCAGATTGATACTTTCTTTTCCTCTCTTTTAAATCAAGCACATATTCTTCACCACTCATCTGCTTTAGTTTGGGAAAACATCTGCATTAGCCACTGCAGTAATGGTTTAAGATTATTTAATCCCATTACTTATACACTTCATTAGCCTGAGTGAATCGTTGGCAAGGGTTCAGTAAACTTCCTACATTGGGAGATAAAAGGATAAAAAAGGAAAGGGAGAAGGATTCTGTTCCTCATTTTCTTTCAAATTTATCTTCTATCTATTTAAGGGATAAAGGAATGATAATTGCCTGGTTGCATCTGCGTTTGTACGTTCTGTGATATGGCTTTGCAGCTCTGAGTACAGAGGAAAGAGTAAACATTTAATAGCTTTCTTTTATATAACCAGAAGGGGCCTTTAAATGTTTATCCATGCAGTCCACAAAAACCTGGTTATGGACTTAACCCAAAACACGTCTGGATCCATCTGTTGCTGCACATGTGGGGAAAGGATGGTGATGCTGATGGGGCTACGTATGTGTAGCTGGACAGCTGGTACTGTGAGTGGGAAATGGAAAGCAGGAATCTGGCAGTCTGATACACCAAAGAAAAGAAAAACCAAAACACCCAAGCACACATTGAACTCTTAAACATGGAAGAAACAAGTGTCGGGAGCCTAAGTCTTGATACCTCTCAGAAAGCTTGGGACTCTGCTTTGCCAAAAGCCAGGTCTACAAGGGATCTAGGCACCTGCCATGCTGTTGGCTTTAGGCCTGAGGAATTTGTGTTGTAGAGTATGTGTCTCATTGATTTTTCAATGAAATGAGGTCTGCATTGGCTTCAGTAGGATGATGAGTGCCTGTTGTTCTTGCAAATGGATTGAGGACCCTGAAATTGCTGAGGCACAATCTGAATGCTTTTGCCTTTAGATGTGTGATGTGGTCATACTGAAGTCGATGAGAGTTAATGACCTGCTTAAAATCTAGCCTGTGCTTAAGGATTTTGCTGAATTGTGACCTCTGGGTTTTTTTTGGAGCTTCCCCAAGTCCCATTATCAGAAAATAACTTGGATGCTTGGAGCCCTAGTTCTGTAGGAAATCAATGGGAATATAAGAACCCAGACTCAGATTCCTGTGGACCTGAATTCCCATGAAAGGTGGAGCCTGTGTCACTAGCCCAAGATTGCACAGTTAATCCATGGCTGTGGCTGGCTGAGAAAATGGGATTCTCAGCTGGTATAAATCTAAGTAAGTCAATGAAACTTGTTTACTGGTCTACCTAATTCACACTGATTTCTCGCACACATCCCTGTTTCCCCAAGTCTAAAACTCTTGACTTATTATGCAAGCCATTAGGCCAAGCTGCTTCATTTGTATAAAGGAAATGAACTATAATATTTGCCTGGTTGTGATACATAAATTCATGAATTCTTTGATTTTTTTAATAATTCCCTTGTGTGACTTGTGGCCGTGCGCGCATAAAAACTATGTGCAAAAATAAAAATACATGTTTTTCAACAGTTAGATTGGCTAATCTTCTCAGTTTATTATGTGACTTCTTAGTTGTGGTGCAGTGAAGCCATAATTAAGATTACTGTGAAGAGCTGTATTTAATTACTTGCTAGTCAATACCAAGCCTAAATAGCCTGCAGAAGGGTTGTTTTTTGGTTTTGTTTCTGGTTTTATTTATCAGTGACCCAGTTAAGATTAAATTCCCCAAAAGTCTGAATTAACATGTAAGGAGATCAATCACCTGTTTAAAAAAAAAAAAAAAAATTCCTAATGGGAATTTGAGTGCTACAGTTAATTTCTTTCACACAGAAATCCCCCCACCCAAAAGCCAGTCACTGTCATTTCCTGTTACATCTTATGAATGCAGTGAGTTCTGTTGCCAATGTGTTTGCTGGTTTTGCTCTTCATCCAAGGATTCTTTCATTATTGATGTTATTTTTAAAAGAGTACCAGTCTTCTCCATTAAGACACTTCTGCTGAACTAAAAGCAACTGTAAAAAATAGTGTTAATAGGAGACAGATGTCTCCTAGTCATTACGACGGTCCAGTAACATCTGAAATAATCACGATAGGGTTTCCAGTGTAACCAGCGTCCTGCTGTACATGTGATGAATGCTGTGTCTGCAGTATGTTATCAGTATACTTTTCCCCTCCCTTACAGGGCAAATTACTGACAAAAAACATTTGGTTTGCTTCCTCTCAGTAGTTGAAGAGATTTTAGCACTGGGCTCAGTGTGGAGAAAAGGTTAAGAGTAACATCAGTGGAACCGTTGTTATAAAAGATTGAAGAGCAAGATGTTAGAGCCGTGCCAGCTGTCTGCTTTCCAAATACCGTATTATCATAAGGACTGAACACAAGGTTAACCAGACACACCGGTCTGGCAAGAGCGATGCTGCTGTTTTGTGAATGGGATGTTCTTTGATGTCCTGATGACTTTCTCTGGGATGTGGAAATTTTCCTCCAATCTTTATCCCCTTTCCTGGCAGTCTGGTGGTTGGCAGTTGGAGATAAACTCTCTGCGGCTGAGGGCTGAGAGGTGCTGAGCACCTGCAGTTAGCACAGAAAGCAGCGAGATCTTGCAGATGCTCCTGGCCTCTGAGGGTTTCTTCTGTTGTGTCCAAGTCAATGCAGCCCACCAGTGGGCCCTGAGGGAAGGACCATGGGTCCTCCCCTCAGGGAAGGGGATGAGAATGCAGAGATAACTAACCAAGCAAAGCAGAAATAGCCAGGGTCAGGGGACAGAGTTCGGAGAAGTGGTGGGCTAGAAATGATGAGCAATTGAAGGAGAGGAAAGAAACTGTCTCATGTCTGTCTGTTGTTGTGGTTTGGGCCGGACTGGCCACTGAAATGAATGACAGATGCTCTCCCCCCATGACCCTGGGATTGAGTCTAGATAGAGTGGGGGAAGATGGTGGGAATGCTCTGCAGTGCCCAGTGGAGACCCAGGGATCGAGGTTTCCTGTTTCTGCTGCATGCTGTGAGATATTGAGGACATGCCCTTAAACTGTACCCTGAAGATTACTTAAAAGGATTTTGCAGGCTGAGGTTCATCTTTCCATAGTACTAAAGCTGTGGAAGTGCTTGAAGGGGGAAGAATTGTGCGTGGAAGTCGTGATCACTACCGTTCCCCAGCTTTAGACTCAGGATCGTACTGCTCCACTTTTTTTCCCCAATTATTTGTTTTGTGAGCAAAAAAAAAAAACCCAAACCCGTATCTTCAGGGTTTCTCTCTTATAGCTTCTAACTTTCTGGTCTATCAGAGGCTGTAGTTCAGTAGGAGATCATAGTTCAGACCTGCTGATGTTTTAGGAAATGGTATGACTAGAGCCACTGGTACCACGGAGCATCCTGTGAGAGCTTAAATTTGCTAATCATTCTGTTAACGCAACTTGTGCTCATTGAAATCTCTGGTAAAACTGCTGTCAGGTTCAGTGGCACTGGTACTGTAAACCTCATCCCGTGTGCGGACGTGAGTGTGGTTTTTTGAAGGCTGTGCAAGAGCAGCTACCTCCAGCACATACGGTTTAAAGTGTAAGGTTGATCCCTGCAGTAGAATTACATCTATTTTTAAAAATAATTCTGCAATTTGTAAGCAGAGATTACAGCACTAATTTAGCAACCATGTAACAATTTAAATTGGACCAGAAAAGAGAAACTATAATTTAAAGATTTTTTTTTTATGATACAAGTTTTCTTCTTTTTAAAGTAAAAAGCCCTTTATTCTTGTTTTTGTCAAGCAACGTATTGAATTTGAGAGTAA